CAGGGGGAGTGGTATCAGCAAATATGTGGTTCGACGGTGTACCTGCAGGGAGGGGGTTCCAGGTTCTTGTGTAGCCAGATAAAAGATTATATATGGACATAACTGTAACAGAAACAGACACTTCAGGGAGGAGCAGAGTTTGTTGTTTGGTTTTTTACTCTTTACTCTTTTGGGGGCCTGCCACCCAGCTCCCAAATAAACACAAGATGGCTTACTCTTTTTTATGAATACCTGGCCTTAACCTGGCTTATTTCTAGCAAGCTTTTCTTAACTTAAATTATCCCATCTACCTCTTGCCTCTGGGCTTTTAACTATCTCTATTCTCTATACCTTTCTTCTTACTCCGTGGCTGGCTGTAGCTGGGTGGCTGACCCTTGGTGTCCTCTTCCTTTTCTTGCTCCTTCTTCTCTTCTCAGATTTCTACTCCTATTTATTCTCTCTGCCTGCCAGCCCTTCTTATCTTTTCTCCTGCCTTGCTATTGGTCATTTAGCTCTTTATTACACCATCAGGTGTTTTAGACAGGCACAGAATTAAACAAATGCAACATTAAAGAATGCAACACATCTTTGCATCATTAAACAAATGTTCCACAGAATAAACAAATGTAACACATCTTAAAATAATACTCCACAATAGAGTTAGTAGCTCAAACAATCCCACTGAACATTTGGGTTCTCATGTAATAGAACATGTCCCTTTTGGCTCATAGGTATAGTGTGGGCTTCTCCTCAGATGCTTTATCTGTGCATGATCTGTGCATGTCCTTGTACAAAAAACTTCATGCATTACAGGTCTCATTAGCATTTTAATTCTCTATCCAAGGGAGAGAGTTTTAGTAGTATCCAGGTCATCTTCAGACACTCAGGGTTTGAGCCTATAGACAGAACTAACTACCCTTAAGGTGAGGGTCAGGTCCAGCCACTCTCAGATGATGGGAGCACCTGTATACAAACACTGCAGGAGTACTGTTCTATCTGAACACATGGGGATAAGGGGAGCAGTCTGTTTCATCATCCCTCAGGCCCTGGACTGGGCACTTACCTCACAGCTGTGACTCCATTAATTCTCAAAAGTTAACTGCCCTCCCACACCAGGAACATGGTGGGAGGTGCATTTCTTTGAGAAACAAAACCCAATCACCATATACCTTCCCCCAAAGCAGGTCTGTTGCTGTGTGTCGTATATGTGATCTGATCTGTGTATGGTGTGCTATATGGGAAGGGGGATTGGGGGAATGTATGTGTGTATGTGGTATTCTCTCTCTCTCTCTCTCTCTGTGTATATATATATATATATATATAATGAGTGTTGTATGCCACATGTATGTGTTGGAGTGCAACGAGGACTAGAACACATAGAGGCATTCAAAGAAGTGAACCACTTCTACCTTGCAGAAACAGTCACACCCCTTCTGAAGTAAAAATATGAAAGATTTCCCAGTTTTCCTGAAGGGTGTCTCCATACCTTTCAAAGTCCTAGCACTCCACATTATTATCTCCACAAACCACTATGTGAGTCTCATGAAAGACAGAAAGTGGGAGGACTGGGGACCAAAGAGCAAACCCTTGGTGCCAAGATCAGCACAAAGAACGTCTATGTCACACATCTCTGTGGGATAGAGAATGGGGTCTAAGCCAGAGGGGAGGGCGGGTAGTCCAGCTTGGCAGACACCAAAGGTCTCTGATTATACAGCTATTTCAGACCACACTCAGCAGCTCTCACAGATTTAGACATTTGGTACATGGCTGTCACTCAGGAGGTGTTGGTTAAGCAGTGTCAGCAGATTCTTTAGGTATTTACAAGATAACTAAAGACATTGATGAACAAGACTTAGAAAAGTAAGAATGGTCATTTGGTAGGCCTGGGGTCTCCCCCTCCTGTGCAGCCCTATTACTGGAGCAGTGAAACTGGCTGATCTCTTTTATGACTGGATGCTTGCCAAGAGGAAGTAGGCAAAAGGGCCATGTGCAATTTGAGATCTAGTTCTCAATCTATCTCCTTCTGGCTCTCCACTTCCCCTTCTCTGTAGACCACTGGAATATCTTTGGCAACCTCAAAAGCCAGAGGTTACAGATGGTAGCTGCTAGGACTCCACACCCTCTGGCATGCTGGAATTCATAAAACGGAGTCCCTCATCCCATTCCCTCCTCCATAGAGACCGACAGGAGTGATGTTTGCTGTGTGAGACACTGGAATAAGTATTGGCTGATGATGCCAATGCTTTCTTTCTTCTTTCTTTCCTTCCTTCTTTTTCTTTCCTTCTTTATTTGTGTGTGTGTGTGTGTGTGTGTGTGTGTGTGTGTGTGTGTGTGTGTGTGTAGTTAAGTACAGACGTCCTGGATCCCCTGGAGCTGAAGTTACAGGTAGTTGTGAGTCATTTGACATGAGTGTTAGGAATCGAACACAGGTTAACTCCAAGAGCAGCAAGCTCTTTTAACCACAGAGCCATCTCTCTAGCCCACAGAGGCCAACATTTTGAATCTGAGGATGACTGACAATGAAGGCATGAGCAGAGTGCTAGGTGCTAGGTGTTAGTGGAGCTAAGGATTCATGGGTACTAATGCAGTAACCAGGAGCTGATGACTAACTGATGCCTAAACTAAGCTATTTCCTGGAAACAATACTTACTGACAACTGACTTGATCACTAATGATGGGGACACTGGGTGACACTTATGCTCCCAGTGCTCAGCCTAGCATGTTTGTGACCTTTACTATGGTGGGGAGTCCTGCCCAGTGCCACTTGACAAAATCCCTCTGGCTTTTTCTAGTGGAAAGGACTTGCCTTTACCCTTGAGGAGTGGCATCACCCAGTGTAGCCTGCCTCTTTCCAGTGCAGTGCCACCAACACTCACCCCGACACACCCTTCTCAATATGCCTGTGGAAGGGGATCCCTCTCTTAGGACCCAGTCTCCTGATTCTGGGGCAGGCCATGCTTTAGGAATCCCAGTGTCCGTGGAAAGGATGTCCTGGTGAAATTTCTAGAAGCACTGCTAGCAAGCCCCATCCAACTTTTCCAATTCCCCTTTTCACAGTAGCATGTGCAGCCAAGCCAGGGTGACTTCCTGATGTCTGAGTCCTAGCAACACTGCCCAGGGGAAACTCAGTCTGCCAGGGATAATGACTCCTCAGACTGTGAGTCTCAGGTTCATGTGTGCTTGGCTAGGTTGTTAATCAACAGTGACCAACTTTCTCAGTCATAGGTTGTGAAATGTACACTCACAAGCCCTGGGGTAGCTCAGGGACATGACAGAATCTAGACATCAGGCATGCCTTGAGACATCCAGGTGCAGAGCTGGCTCTAATAAAGCATTGGAGCAGAGTTGGAACATGGCTCTCCCTCTTCTCTGTATGGTCTTGAGCAAGGCCCCTTATGTGATTAAAAAAAGAACCTGGCACACAGTACACAGTAACAGACAGAAATTACTGCTGCTGCTGTCGGCAGAGTTCACAGCCCACAGCACTTTGACGCTAAGTGCTTGTTGGCTAAGCTGTGTTCTTCCAGAGGTTGAACAAAAACTGGAATTCAGGTTCAGGGTGTGAGGGTTAGGGAGGTGAGTCATAGGTGTTGAGTTCCAGCAGGCCTGGCCTCATCCCTTAGGGGTGATCATTATTTCTGTAACTACCTTCCTTCTCCAAGGGTGTAGACAAGGGTGAGGGTCAACTCTAGGAGGTCACTGGCCTCAGATGTGGATCTGAGGCCTTTGTCTCAAGCCTGTGCTGCCCTCAGCTATCCTGTCAGGGTCATCCCCACCCACTACACTCCAGGGGAATCCCCCTTGGTCACTGCTGGTCACCTCAGATTCCATTTCCAAACTCATCAACCTGGATATGAGCCTTTGGCCGCCCACGAAGCAAGCAGCTCTTTTCTGCTTGCTTTCTCTGGCTTCCCCTCCACCTTCTCATGAGCTACAGGGTGTGACTAATTTCTACTCAGAAGCACTTCTACTCACAATCTTGAAGCAGCACCAGGCTTCTGCCAAAGGTGCTGTAACTGGGATATTTGTGGAGTGGAGTTCAAGATAACTCACCATATTGTCTCAAGCTATGGGAATAGGTCTTGGCACAGGCTAAGGGCTTTCTCTGATCTCATCTACAGTCTTGATCGATAGCAGATGGTCAGAAGGGCCTTGCTCACTAGGGAAACAGGAGCACCTTCTACAAGATCCCAAGGTTAGCCTGGGAGAAAACTCCTTCCTACTCAGACCTAGTACCTAGGCCAATGCTGACTTCAAGTTCTGCTGTGACTCTCTGGATTTAGTTCCACACACAGGAAGAAACATTCCCTAACTGTACCCATATTCCCAGAGAGCTGGACACCCTGACTTAGAAGAAAAAGTAATACAAGGGGCCAAGCTCCTGATTTGTGTGTATCTTCACAACATCATACTGTTGTTTTTCTTCATTCACTTTGTATCCCAGGAGGTTTCAGAGTCACCATCTTCCTGCCTAAGCTCCCCAATGCTGGGATTATAGGTATACACCAACACACTGGGCTGACATTACACATACTGATATCTTTCTATTTTTGAAATACTTGATGACCAAAAAAAAAAAATAAGGAAATACAAAATCATAAACAGAAGAAAAGGCCTTCATCAAATGATTTGTGGGGCTGGAGAGATGGATCAGTATTTAAAAGAACTTGCTGCTCTTATAGTGGACTCAGGTTCAGTTTCCAGCACCCACACAGGGTGGCTCACAACCTCCTGTAACTCTAGTTCTAGGGGATCCAATCTCCTCTTCTGGATTCTGCAGCTACCTTCAGGCATACAGCATACAAACAGACAAGTTGGCACATACACACATACACATAAATAAAAATTTAAAATTATGGTGATGCATGTCTGGAATCCCAGTACTCAGGAGGATGAGGCAGGAAGGAAGATCTGTCAGTTCCAAAACAGCTTGGGCTATAGAGTGAGCCTGACTCAAAACAAATGGCTAGGATCACATTGTCTAAGATATCTTGCTTTTAGTTTATGAGAAAATTTCCATGTCATGATTTAAAAAAGCTGTCTTTATTTGGCTGCCTTCTCTTCCACTGACTAGATGCTCATATTTGTACTGACCTGTTCTCTGAAGGAGTGTATTCTGGCTGGGTGAGGACTGCGTGGGCAGTGTACCACCTCAGTTAGTGTTTTGGTCTTGGGAGTCAATTTCATTTTCTTTGGCAGATGTGCACTCTGGCAGGATTCATGTAGGGCACAATTCTTGCTCACAAATTCTCTTCATCCACTTCTCCAAAAGAAATAACCTTCATCCACTTGTAGCCTTATCTCCCAGGAGTTAGCAGCCTTTATGCTAGCCCTACAGGACCCAGCCCAGGCTCTTGGCCTCTTAACCAACCAGCCATCTGTCCCAGTGGAGCAGGCACCACTGCTGTAACTTCCCGGACTTCTGAGAAGGCTGACACTGCATCATGCCACACATCAATCGAGATGGGCATGTAAGTGAAGGCCCGGTGACACAGTAGGACAGCATTAAGAGAAGCCAGATGTGAGTTTACACCCTGCCACCTCTACATATTAGCTTTGAAAACTAGGCAAATTACTGAGCCTCTCTCTGAGCCTGTTGTAGGTCTTTTTTTTTTTTTTTTTTTGCTTTGTTTTGTTTCATATTCATGAAGAATAATTCCTACCCTCCAGGGTTTTGTGGAAACTGAGATAATGAGTTTCTGACTCAGATCACACCCCACCCCATGCACTCACACACAGGGAGCAATTTTCTGTCCAATTGTTCCATCATATCTACTGTCTCCTAGGAAGTACCAATGAGCTCATGTTTCCAAGTTTCATCTTCTTGGAGAGAATGTTCTCCAACGCCCAGTGTGTCAGCCCAGCAGCCTACAGAATTTACTAGTCGACTGCTTGGGGCACATAACGCCCAACAAAGGACATCTTACCCTTAGTTCATCAAGACCACTGATCTCATTCCTGGAGAACACAAAACAGCCACAAACCCTCACCCTACCTTCACATGCTCCTGTGTGTCATGGGACCATCACCTGTATCAGCTTGGAGATCCTCTTAAAACGCCTCTCCAGAGTCTGCCTTCCCTTCTGGCCCCAATCTCTCCTGACTCTACTTCCTCATGGTACTGGGCCAAACTCATCCCAGGTAAGATGAAAATGAAGGAGAAAGGACTGGGCAGAAATTATGGTTCAGAAACATTCATTAATCCAGTGCTTGCAAACTTTGCTGTCTATTAGGATCACTGGTGGTTTGTCTTTGAGACAGAGTCTAATGTAGCAAGGACATCTTTAAACCATGGTCCTCATGTCTCTCACACGCTGGATTACAAGTGTGCTACCACATAGTTTCTTTGATAGAGTTGCTTTGCTTTTTTGTGCTGGAGATGAAACATAGGACATTGCCATGTTAGGTTCACACTCTGCCACTGAACTATACCCTCAGCAGCCTCACTTATAAACATTTTAAAATCCTTTATGATGGCTACAATTAAACTATAATTTCTAGGTGTGGAGACCAGGCACAGTACCAAGCTCAAGACCCTGTGCATGAGCCTCTATTGCTCATGGGCCCGGATGAGCACGTCTGTATGGAGTGTGGGTTCAAGGTGACAGACCATAGGTATTCCAGGGAAGTGGCACAGAGCCAGAGCCTGTGATGGTGGAGGACATTGGTCTGCTCCCAATAAACCCTTAGAACTGGAATAAAGGGCTGTTCCAAGATCACAGATATGTCTCAAAATAATATATGTTTATGACACTAAAGGCCATCTGAATGGTAGGAAACAATGACAGCCACCTCTGGGTGACATCAGATTACAGATACAGAGCTTCAGCATCCTAACATGGCTAGGTTCTTCTCCCCAAAACTAAGTATTAAGCCCTTGCTCAGGCCATGTCTGTAAGAGCACTTTACTAATGACTCCCATAAAATCAGCTTTGTCTAACTTACTGGTGAGCTGGCTCTACTCCTGGCTGTCTCCTAAACAGCTAAATCATAGCAGCTTGGACACACAGTAGGTTAACACCCAGGAAGCAACAATTCTACTCCTCTCTGATGAACTTTGCTTTTGCTAGTGACACTCTTGGGGCCAAACTGATGACAAGTGGTATCACTATCTGAGGCCCACGTGAGCCATCTGGGGTTCAAACCCCTGCTGGTCTGTGATGGGGCTCTGGTGGGGCTCAGAACAGTTTCACTCACTACAGAGCACACTCTACACACTGAAACAATGGCAATGACACAGTCCTTTTGTTCAGGCTCTGAAGTGGAGTCCTATCCCAGAGCACGTACATCAATCTCAGAACAGGCCATCCAGCTGGAGTGGAAGAGACCTGTGTAACACTGTTGAAAGGTGCTGGAGACATATGCAGAACAATTTGTAGAGGTGCCAGTGTCCACGTCCAGTTCTACAAGTGAGACACTGAGCATATAATGAAGGGTTTTTACTATCCTGTCAGTCAAAAGCCCAGCCAGCACCATCTGTACACCTGACCTTTGTGAGGCTCTTAAATGGCTCCTCTAGTCTACATGACTCCTTGAGAGGTACTGGATAGTACCTGAGGTAGGTGCAGATGCTCCTGGCTACCTGCCAGCCTTGCTTTTCTCCTTGCCCCCACCCAGCAGCATCTCTGGTAGCTTCACACCCTGAGTGGGAGTGGAGGGTCATGGGACAACGAAATGAATTTTCTTCCCCTCTTTCCTCTTTGTCCACATCCATTCTCATCCAAGTTCAGGCCTCAGCACATGGGCCCCTGCTGACTCCAGTCTGTCCTGGCACAGAGGCCAATGCCCCTGATGTTTATCTTTTCTCTTTTCTTAAGCTAACATTCCTTTCCTTGATCTGGGCAGAAAAGGAGGGTCCTTGCAGCCCTGGTCACTCCTGCACCAGGAAATTGATGAGGGCAGTCCTGGGGGAGAGGAAGGCCTTCTTGATGCTTCTCCCCTGCAGTAGCCTGATGCCCAGCTCACTCTTGAGAACAAGTTCATGGACTTTGTCCTGGTCCAGAGCAACTTGCTGGGGCACAGAGATCTTGCCATAGGCCTTGTTGTTGATCTGAGAGGGAAAAGAGCAGAGAGAGTGAGGAGGGAGAGAGTCCGTCCACACGGAGGCAGGCTGTGAGGGTGCTCCAACTCCTGAGCTAAGTACTCTTTCTAAACACGGGTTTCCTGTGGTCTAGGTGTGGTGCAAGTACAGTGGGGCCAGGCTTGCTGGCCAGGCTTCAGAGGATGTGCTGCTTCTCAGCTCCAGGGTGATGTGATGCTGGCACTTTCCATGATACATGTTCCTTTTGTTTATTCTTTTCCTTCTTTTATGCTTTTCTATCTCTCTGGGCTTTAAGCTCTATGAGGATAGGGACCCTGTTGTCCCACTGAATTTTTTGTTTTTGTCAAGACAAAGTCTTATCATAAATCCCTGGCTAGTATCAAACTTACAGTGGTCCTCCTGCCTTAGATTCTCAAGTGCTGAGATCAGAGTAAACCACTGTGCCTGGCTTTTGTTTGATTTTGCATCCCTACAACCTAGCCCATGCCTGGCCTGGAGTCAGGACAGACCTGGATGAGGTAAGTCACTTCTTTGAGCCTGTGTTCTTAACTAAGAATGGTGTAGCCTCTGATAAGCAAGTAAAATCACATTTGGATGTAAATGACCTAGTTCCACTCCATCTGCCATCCAGAGGATCAGGTAAAAAGCCTATCCTGGTCTCTTTACCTTTTGCCACTTAAGCCATTAACAGATGTCCCTAGAAATGTGTCTCATATTAAACAAATTGAATCTGCATAGAGGGGAACCTACAGGGATCTAGTTTTTGCATAAAAGGTTTAAGGGAAAAACAAAACAAAACAAAACAAACTACTCTTGCTGGACCTGGTGGCACAGGCCTGTAATTCTGGATACCTTGGAGGCTGAGGCAATAGGGTCAAAGTTCAAGGCCAGCCTGAGTTACAGATCAAGCTCAAGGTCAGTTTGGGCAACTTTCTTTTCTTTTTTTTTTTTAATATTGGTGTGCCAGATCTCATTACAGATGGTTGTGAGCCACCATGCGGTTGCTGGGAATTGAACTCAGGACCTCTGGAAGAGCAGTCAGTGCTCTTAATCTCTGAGCCATCTCTCCAGCCCCAGTTTGGGCAACTTTCTGAGACCCTGTCTTAAAGCAAAAAGTAAGAAGAGGGCTGGGCCTTCTCTTCCTAGAATTCTCCTTGTCTACTTATCCTGCCTGGCTACTGGCTAAGCAGTGTTTTATTAAATCAGTGTACAAAACCATTATCCCACAGCACCTCCCCACCTCTCTATTCACCCAAATTCATGTTTTTCTTCTGTGTGTGTCTTTCTCAGAAATGAACAACACACAATAAACAACTATGGTGATATTTCATTTGTAAAAAACAAAAAAAAACAAACAAAAAAAAAAGAAGAGGGCTGGGATGCAGCTTAGCAAGACACCACTTGCCTAGAATGCCTTGGGCTCTAGGTTCAACCCCAGAACCTAAAAAAAACCAAAAAACTTGAACCTTGAACTTCTGCTCTTATATTACTCTTATATATTGAAAATGGTCCAGTTTATCCCCCCAAAAATAAATAAATAAAAGGGGAAAAAGAGTTTTATATAACTTTACTGAAATATGTTTGACAGAGGCATTAAATTTTTTTAAAATTTTATTTTATGTAAGTGGGTGGTTTGCCTGCATGTATATCTGTGCACTACATGCATGCCTGGAACCAGTGGAGGCTAGAAGACAGCAGCAGAGCCCCTGGAACTGTAGTTACAGATGGTTGTGAGCTACCATGCGAGTGCTAGGACTCAAACTCAGGTCCCCTGGAAGAGCATCCAGGGCTCCCAAGCCATTTCTCCAGCCCAACAGAAGTATTTTTTACTGACAGATGTCTGTTACCTTCCATGTGTCCTCCCCGACCCCGCCCCTTTAACCCTACCCAGGTGCTGCTAACTGCAGCTGGAAGACGCTGGCACCAGTAAGGCTGATGAGGCTTGTATTTCCCCTTTCTGGTCCTTCCAGGCCCTGAGAGCGGAAGCTTACATGCATGCTCTTGGGATCTAGTGAAGGAACAGAGAAGGGAGCACAGACCTCTGTGCTGTGGGCTTGGTCAAATAGAAGGGCTGGCTTGGGGGCTGGGTTGATGGGTCACTGGTAGGAGAGGGATAGTCTGCAGACCACAGTCTAGCACTACGGCTGTGGGTGGCACTCACCAGAATGGCCATCTGCACCATATCCGGTGGCTGAAGGAACTGAGAGTCCACAGTGGGCCAGGCCTGAAGCATCACACCAGTATCCCAGGCATAATGGTCACAGAGCTTGCTTGGTACTAGCGCCAGGCCTACAACACAAAGGCACAGAAGATCAGGCCACTCTGAACACACAGGGGGTTCATGAACAGGGTGCCCTGGCTTAGAGCCTTTTAAGGAAGCTAGTGATGCCATAACATGAGTTTTTCCACGAGGTTGTGGACTGGCCACTCTGAGTAGTGCTGATGCTTTGTTTTGTTGGCTTCTGTCTTGGGTTCTTGTGCCAGTATCAGAGATTTCTTGTAAATTTTAAAACCTTCTCCTATTTGACACTCTTATGACTATACGGCTGGGGTAGAAATGAAGGTTTCTTAGGGCCTGAGGATCAAGTGGTATACTGGTGCACAGGGAGGAGCTGACCTTTTCCCACAGCTAGTCTGTGACCCCATGTTTCAGGCAGCCTTTCTATAAAAAGCAAGCAGAGATGTGCGGATAGATGGACATGGTGCTCTGAAATTAGTGGAAAAGCAAGGCTGCCAGTGTTCTAGGGTTACCCCTTTCCTGGGGAAGGAATGCCTTCCTGGGAACTGGTCCCCAAGTACAGGCTGTCCTCACAGCTTTTCCTGCCATGAGTATCTTGGCCTTTGGTCTCAAAATCTTGTCCCCAGTCCTTTTTCACATAAGTGCATTGGACGGAAGGATGTTCTCAGCCCTCTTGGGAACTCTCTCACCCTACTACATATTCTAGCCTCACAGGCTCTCTCTGAGGAATGGACCCTTGGCTTAGGGTAGGCCACATGAAGGTGGTAAGGTATAAACCCTCTCCAGTCTTCTTCCAAAGACAGGGCTAGGAATGGAACCCATTGCCTCAAGCATGCTAAGTATATGCTCCACTACTACTTTGTACCTCAAGACCCCCCTTTCTTTCTTTTTTAAAATAATTTATTTTTATTTAATATGCATTGGTGGTTTTGCCTTCATGTGTGTCTGTGAGGGTTTCTGAGCCTCTGGAACTGGAGTCACAGACAGTTGTGAGCTTTCACGTGGTTTCTGGGAATTGAACCCAGGTCCTCTGGAAGAGCAGTCAGTGCTCTTACCTGCTGAGCCATCTCTCCAGCCCCTGTCCCCTCTTTTAAAAACACCGTTTTATAGGGTTTCCACAAGGAGCAGTCATTGCTTTTATACATACAGATGTATGTATATATTACAGCTGTGCTGGTGATGGACACTGGGACTAAGTACTCTACCACCCAGCGACACTCACAGCTCTTTCATAGTTTGAAAATACATTTAAGTATAGAGTTTTTCCATACTGTGAAGTCAGTTCAAGAATTTTCTTTTGGTTTCTTTGAAAGGTTTCATCCCTTCCCCCCCATTTAACTTTCAAATTTAGTAGCAATCTATTTTGTTTATAATATAAAGAAACTATCTTCAAAATCACAAAATAAACTTTCCAAACCCAGTTTGTTTACATAAAGTATCCTTCCCTATTGATTTGTGGGTTTTCCTTCGAAATATTATTATACTGGGATTTGTTTGGTACCATTAGCTTCAGATATTCAAAATATATGTATGCAAGGAGGTAGAAATCCAGGGTCAGAATATGAGTCAACACATACTGCTTCCTTTACCGGGGGGAAAAAAAAAAAAAAAAAAAAAAAGCCAGGGATGCAGCTCAGTGAGGAAATGAAGAAATGTTTGTTAGCATGAACACTGTCCTGAGTCTGACACCAGCATTGCAAACACGTGTGCATGTGTGTGCATACACACACAGGAACAGCCTTATTCTTCGTTATGCCTACCACAAGCTCCCCTTCTTCTCACCAACTGAAACCAAGTCTTTAAGTAAGCCTGAGTTGTGGGTAAGCCACTGAGCAGTGCTGATGCATTCTACTCCACTGGCCTCTGACTCTCTGGTATATTCATTCATTGTATTGTAGCTTTTAAGTCTTCCTATCTGACACTCTGGTGACCCTGTTGCCAGTTACTGGCAGAGAAGTGAAGGCTCCTTACAGCCCAAGTATAGGACATGACCTCCCCCTGGTGCCCAGCTGGTCCTGGTCTGAGCTGTTGTACTTCGCAATGGTCTTAATGGCCTTTTGGCAAATGTAGAAAATATTCCAACTTCTTCCTTCTCTGAAAGTGAGATGGAGGTCACAGAAAACAGATAACCATGTCTTTATTTGCTGAGCTGGTGGTGGCTTGTCCTGTGACCCAGATGTAGTGGGAAGGTTTCCAAAACCTCTGTATGGAAGTCATACAGGATGCCTAGGAGATGAAAGGGCCTTGGATGAGAATGTTCTGGACAGAAGCTGTCATACATTCCACTAAAAAACAAGGAAGCCCAGACTTCCTGGTGTAATCAGGATGCTTATTTATAGGTATGGTGCCTCACCAGGCTTTCCCTGGATGATGTGGCTTGGCTGCAGGGGTGGGGTGGCGAGGGTGTGGTGTGGAGCATATGCACAGGTTTTTGCCACTTGGCTCTTTTAAGTGAAAATACCCAACACGTGCATGGCAAAGACAACGACATAGCCAAGGTGACAGGTCCACTGGGAAGTCTGAATGCAGAAGGTAAGTGCCAAAGCTCTGGCATGCAGGGCTACCACGGGGCCAGCTGCACCCCTTCCATCCCCACCTTTGGAGAGCTGACCTTCTTGCAGAAAACAAAACTAAACCTCTCCCATCTCTCCCTGAGCACAGGCTGCCAGGATGCCTTGGTGGCCCACAGTGATTGCTGGGAAGTTGGGGGTGGTGGTCACGGTTTCTGTGAAGGCAGACCTCTCCTGGTGGCATTGCTGGGCCTGTCTCTGCCCTCATCTCTCCATCTTTGTCTGTGCTAGCTAATTCCACTGAGTATGCCAGGAGAGCCTGGGTCTGTGCTGACAGTGGCCCTGGCAATTCAAAGAAAATGCACAGGAAGCAAGGCCACTTCATGTTGACCTTTCCCAGAGAAATGAATTTGCTCACATGCTTTGAAAAGAACAACACCCACATTGCATCAGAGGCTGGGGTGTGGCTCAGTGGTAGAGCATGTACTTAGCACGCACAAAGCTGGACTCAATATCTAACAGCAGAAACTAACAACAAGCAAAATACAAAAAACAAAACAAAACAAAGACTGTCAGAGGGCCTGGTGGGATGCAGACTTGGTGTCTGGATGAATATTTGTAGAAGTGGCTTGGATACCAAAACAGTTAAGTTAAAATCTGAACTTAACTCATGAGTTCACAATGAAGACAGGTCAAGGATGAGCGGGTAAAAGCACTTGTCAAGCAAGTTTGTTGATCTGAGTTTGGATGCCCAGAACCAATGTAAAAGTTGGACACAGGAGTCCAAGCATCTGTAGTCCAAGAGTGCTGCTATGGGGAGACAGAAAGCAGAGACATGAGCATCTCCAGTGGCTCTTAGGCCAGCTAACATGACTTACACAGTGGCTAATACCCCGTCTCAAAACAAGGTAGACAAGGACCCTTTTACATACCTGCCCAGAGTTCTGAGGTTATGTGAGGAGCCATGGGGGCAGCCATCACCAGCAGGGCACACAGAGCATCCTCAAACTCAGGGCTGTGGAGAACCACTCTCTGAGAGGCTTGCTAAGGGAGAGGAAGGAACATTTAAGACAGAGGTACAACATAAGGAGTAAGACAGGCCATGAATGAAATAGAATCCAGAAGTCCAGCAGGTGGGAGAAATATTCTTCATTACCTCCTTGCTTAGGCCAAAGGATTCCTCACAGAACCATATACTCAGTGCTCACAACTGCCCTTCAAGGGCAGGATTTGTACCTCATCTGACAGAGGAAGAGGCTAAACTTCATCGAGGGAGGAAAATCTGCTCTGGGAACAAAGTCAAAACTTGTAAGCACTCTGCAAGGTTTCCTGTGTGTTGTGGCCCAGGGAAAAATGCAGAGAACTGTCTCCTAAGATTTTCCACTGTGGAATACCAGGGTGTGGCTCCTCTCTATCCACCAATTATTGACAAATTCTTCCCTTGTCAAGAAAAACTGGAGTCACATGTAGCAAAAAGATGAGTGGCATTGAAATTGATGGCTCTTTTTGTCAATGGGAGTAACAACTTTGCTCTATCTAGGTTAAGCAAATACAAACATTAACAATGCCACAATGCCAAGGAAACAGCCCAATTCATTCAGGAAATCAGGCAGTAGTGGATGAAGGTTAGAACAGACAGAGGCCTAAGCCTGGCCCTGGCTTTGCAAGTACTCATTCAGACATGGCATCTAACCTCCTGGGCCTCCATGTCTTCTTACAAAAGACTGGAAATAAAAAGGCTTTAAGCTGGGAGGCAGAAGCAGAAAGACCATCATAAGTCAAAGGCCAGCCTTGGCTACATAGTAAGACCCTGTCTCAGAAAAAGTAAACGGCTTTGCTCAGATAACCTTTAAAATCTTGGGGTTGGAGAGAAGGCTCAGAGATTAAGAGCACAGGCTGTTCTTTCAGAAATCCTGAGTTCAAATCCCAGTAGCCACATGCTAGCTTTCAACCATCTGTAATGAGATCTAATGCCCTCTTCAGGTTTGCAGGCATGCATGCATGCCGACAGAACACTGTATACGTAATAAATAAATAAATCTTTAAAAAAACAAAAAACCTTGAAGTAGTATGCTAGAATTGCGTCTATGGAAGAAATGTTCCCGACATTTTCACCCTCCCTCCTTAGCTACTGAGGCCCAGCTACTTACCAAGAGGGCACTGCTGAGTCCCATCAGCTGAGAAACTGCAGAATTCAAAGCAAAGTCCTCTGTGAAATGGGTGGTTACCTGTTGGTAAAAAATTGATTTTTTTTTTTACTCACTTTCTTCAGAAATTCTTTTTAGCTTTCCAGAAGAAAAGTGAATAATTAAAAAAACAAGAAGCTAACCGAATATAATAAAAGATACTTATAAATATATTTACTATCTTGAATAATGACTAGATTTCATGAGCTCAAAGACTTTTAAATTCAAAGTCAATGCTGTTTCTACTGCTTATGACTTTCTTTCCACATCTGAGACAATGTTGCTTCCTACAATTAAGAAGACAATGTTAGCTGCTTGAACAGGAGGCAGGAGCTGCTGATGAGCAGCATAAAAAGACAAGAGTGGATAAAGACATGAGAGGCAGGTGATGCAGATCAGTGTAAGTCGCTCATCTATCACGAGTGAGGCCTGGAGTTGGATTCCCCACCACTGAACCTTTAAGATATCAAGAGTTCACAGCTGTTGAAACAGTTCATCAATTATCTGACCTATGCTCCAGAAAGAAAATGCACGGTATGAGAGCAACCACTTAGCAGCACTCAGATCCCCAGATTACCTTGGTGACTCCCTCTACACAGAGAATAGAAATAAAGTGGAAGAAATGCCATTAGATGAGCATGCTAGAACCAGAGCCACTCACTCAGGTCATGAAAACAAACAAACAAAAATCCTGCCATGTCATTAATGTCATCTGAGCTACAGTCCTGGCAAGAAGTGGCCTTGGATGACTTCACAGGCTTGAATTAGCACCTTTCCCTTTTTAGTTGAGGGAATGGAACCCAGGCCCTGGCACAGTCTACCACCAACCTACACCAATCCCTGAATTAGCAAGTGAAAAAAAATTAGCATAAGAATTAGGGTTATCAGATACTTATTAAAAATAACCTCAGCCAGGCGGTGGTGGCACAAGCCTTTAATCCCAGCACTCAAGAGGCAGAGCCAGGCTGTGAGTTCGGGGCCAGCCTGGTCTACAGAGCAAGATCCAGGAAAGGCACCACAAAATATATGGAGAAACCTTGTCTCGAAAAACAAACAACAACAACAAAAATCTCATATTTGGGGAAATTAACCTAAAACAAGTGCTTTGGACACTGTGTACCAAAGTAACCAAGTGGAAGAACTCCTGATAAGTACAAGGGAGCTTGGATCCCAATCTGTGCTCAGTTCCTCGTTAGCTTTAGCCTTTTAAGCAAGACATCTGACCTGTCTGGGTCTTAAACTCATGTATAAAATGAGGAAGTTTCTTTCAGCTCTGCACCCCTGTTAATACAATGTGCAATGTCTCATCAGAGATTGGTTCCTCCTGCAGGTCAAGTCCAGAGACACAGGAAATAGGTGGCTTCCTGAGGTCTAGGTGGAAGAAGGTGACAAGGAGGGAGGGACAGCCATTTTTTGAGAGCATCTCTTTCCATCAGGAAGTCTCAGTAAACAGCCAAAACAATGACAGCAATTAATCAAGGCAGCAGGGCCACCTCACAAAGAAAGAAGATCCACTGTGGCCCTCTGGACATGAAGGCTGCATAGACCATTGGGCAAAGGTTCCCTCGGAGTGAGGGACACAGTTGCCCCTGGACTGTGGCTTCTGACCTGAGTTATGACTGAGTTTTTGTACTCCCAGAGGCTTCGGGCTTTGGTTTTCTCCTTGTTGTTCAATAGCTGAGGTTGGGGGACTGACCCGGAAGTCCTTGCCTCGATGAATCGTGTTGTCAGGGACCAAAGCCGCTGCTGCCATCTCAGCACTCCAGGAAGTGCATCGGCTGCAATTTGTGGCAATCAAGGACAAAGAAAGAGCACGGATAAGAAGGAATGAGAAAAGCCCCATGGTCTTTCCAGAGTCCTCCCTAACCCCTTTTGGTATCCCTGATATTCTGAGCATGGGCAGCAGAGCTGCTTAACAGTTGCCACCTGCCCTGGGATGAGCATCAGCACACTACCTTCTGGTCAGCAAGCTTACTCTGACAGACATGCCTTGGGGTCAACAAAGTGCTGAAGACATAAGAGTAAGCTGGGGTCTCATGAGCACAGGTAACAGTGGCAATGGCTGCATGCTTGGGAACAGCCTTATGGCACAGTGCGAGGTCAGCTAACAACCCTGCCAGATATGTCGTAATGTATTCCAAACATGTTCACCAAGTCTTGTGGTTAGACAGTAGTTGTTCTGACCCGGGAAAGCAGAACAGCCCACCTGGTGATCCTGGGTCATACAGCTGACCAAGTAAGTGTGGGTCACTTATCTGCCTGAACCTGTGGCCACTGGGTTGGGTATTCTCAAGAGTGAGGACACAGCAGGGACCGCTGGAGGCTTGTGAGAAGGAGATATGGGGACTTGCTCATGTAGAAAGGAGGAAGCTGAGCTAGTGCCTACACTGTTCTGCATGTCTTGCCTTTGTTACTTCAAGGCAGTTTGTTAGGACTGGTATCTGTCACCACTGTCCAGACCCACTGCCATAAGACATAGTGAGAAAACCAGCCAATCCTGAGATAAAACAGACTCCTTCCACAGGCGCTAGCTTTCACTTCCCACACCCACTTCCATGCACATCTCAAGGGCAAAATGAAAGCTTTAGAAAGACAAATCTCCTGAGGGGAAGTAAGGCTAGCAGGAAGTGGCTAATGGTTTGCATGTGATCCCAGGACTCAGGCATCATCTTGGTGAGGGAGGAGGACTCTGTTCTAGAAAAAAACTTTCAGGGAACATGGAAAGAAGACTTGCCTCTTTGCAGCTCAGCAAGCCTAGGGTTACAGAGGTGCTCCGTCTTCAAGGTAACAGTTGTCCAGAGCCCTCACATTATAATCAGCACGGAGTGTGCAATGGGCCCTATTGCCAGCAAGTATAGGGTGAGGACTGGGAATGTGCATATGTAGTGGGAACCCCCCTTCCCTTCCCCACCAAAGGGACCCAAAGCTGGACAAGATGACTTCTAGAAGTCTCCATTACTGTTTCCAGTAAGACATTTCCTTCCCCAGTTCTTTCAGAGATCAGGGCAGACTGCAGAGGAAGCAAGCAGGAGAAGGAAGAAGACTCACTCTTTACATCCCACAAGATGTCCTTCTCAGGAGGGGCTGCAAAGAGGATGTAGAGTCGGATTGTGTCAATCCCATACTGTGCCACAATCTCCTCAGGGTCTACCCCATTGTGTTTGGACTTGCTCATCTTCTCCCACGTCACCTCTAACTTCTCTTTTGTTTTTGCACAAACAGGAGCAGGACCTAGATGCCAAAAGAATACTTAGGAACAATGCATGATTCTGAATTGGTCCTGAACAGGGAGGTCAGGGAAGCAGAACTTCTCTTAGGGGCCAAGGAAGTGGGCAGGGTGGAGGTCCCATATTTTGAGCTGTACTTTGAGGCCTTGTGGGAAAAGGTCCTTGAAGACTCCATGTTCTGAGTCTGAAGCTCTGTCCAGCAATAGACTGTCAAATAAGGCTGGACAAGGGGGGATGCCCAAACAAACATTATGTTACACAGGATGGGGCTGGGTAGGAGGCGACAACCAGTCCCAGGAGCAGCCTGCAGAGGCATGACCAGGATCTGTCTTGGCCTCTGCACCCAGCCAGAACCCAATAGCAGATGCTAGCTTCTTAAGAGCTCCTGGACCTGGCCTTGGTTCTTACCCGCTCCACCCAGGTTGGGCCCACCTTACCTGTGAAGTCTATATCCTCCCTCTGCAGACACAGTCCAGATGGAAGGCGGAATGTCTGTCCCTTGATGAGGCCTTGGGCTAGCAATTTATGGAAAGGCTCCCTGAGGAAAGATCACAGGAAAATAAAAGGAGCAGGGGAGGAAGGTAGAGAGGTAAGGACACAAGGTATGCAGAAATCATTTCTACAGATACACCTGAAAGCAGGCTCCTTGGATACAGTGGTAATACTAAATCATAGCAGCAGCCAAGGTTAAGCTCAAGTCCACTTTCCAGAGGTGAAGTGGAAGAGCACTGGCCTCAGATCTGGAAAGCCTATGAGCCACAAAAGTCACTTGCTTGCTCTGGGTGTTCAGTATGCCAACCTATAACATGATAGCAAGAGAAACTTGCCTCAAAATGTTAATGGGAAGAGGAATCAAATGACTGCATGAAAATATAAGCGTCACACAGTGTCAGCTGCCCATCAGGTCCAGCACAGAGGGCCTAGAGAGAGTACTAAAGGCCATCTTTGTAAAGGGTCCTTCACATAGTACATACATGCTTAGACTCTTTTAAAGTTTAAATCTGACAAGTTGCATAGGAATAGATCATTTCTGTTAAAAATCTAAGTGTTATCTACCTGTTTGTGGTAATTTGGGTAAAAATGGCCCCCATAGGCCCATAAGGAGTGGTCCTATTAGGAGATGTGGCCTTGTTTAAGTAGGTGTGGCCTTTTTGGAGGTGTGTCACTGAGATCAGGCTTTGAGGTTTCAGAAGCTCATGCTAGGCCAGTGATTCATTTTCACTTCCTGCTGTCCTCCAATCCAGATGTAGAATGTTGTGGAATATCCCCTTATACTGTGTAAAGATGTGTCATTGTGAGTGGTTTAATAAAGAGCTGAGTAGCCATTAGCTAGGCAGGAAGAGATTAGGTGGGACTTCTGGAGACAGAGAGCTCTGGGAAAAAGAAATGAGGAGTCACTAGCTGGGTGGAGAGAGAGAACAAGGCATGCAGGAGGAGAGGTAAAAGCCACCAGCCATGTGGCAACGCGTAGATGAATAGATAGGGGTTAATTTAAGTTATAAGAACATGTTAGGAACAAGTATAAGCTAAGGCTGAGCTTTCAAAATTACAAGTCTACATGTCATTTTTGTGAGCTGGTGGCCCAAAAGAAAGTCTGACTATAGTAGAACTCTCAGTTCCTTCTCCAGCACCATGTCTACCTACATGTCACCACGCTTCACATCATGACAATAATGGACTAAACATCGCAACTAGATGTTTTCCTTTATGGTTATGGTGTCTCTTCACAGCAATAGAATCCCTAACTAAGACAATGTTCTTCCGAGCCGGGCGGTGGTGGCGCACGCCTTTAATCCCAGCACTCGGGAGGCAGAGGCAGGTGAATCTCTGTGAGTTCAAGGCCAGCCTGATCTACAAGTGAGAGCCAGGAAAGGCACAAAACTACACAGAGAAACCCTGTCTCGAAAAACCAAAAAAAAAAAAAAAGACACTCTTCTTCCTGGCCCATTTCACTCTGCAGAGGCAGCTATCAATGGCTAATGTGTCTTAGTTACTTTTCTATTACCATGACAAAACAACATGACCAAAGCAACTTATAAAAGAAAGCATTTAATTTGGGGCTCATGATTCTAGAGGTCAGAGTCCACAACATCACAGTGGGGAACAGGGTGGCAGGCAGGCAGGCATGGTGGGTCCTCCAGAGGAGCAGCCAGGGCTCTAACTGCTGAGCCATCCATTGCTCCAGCCTTGTCCTCACACACACACCTTTTCTGGCAAAGTCTCACTATGAAGCAATGGCTGGACTTGAACTCTCTATGTATATTAGACTGGTGTTGAACTCACAGAGATCTGTCTGCCTCTTCCCCCTGGATACTGAGATTAAAGACATGCACCACCATATTTACAATAGTTTATTCCTAAGAACCATTTAATTCTTTTTTTTTCCTATTTCATTTTGTTTTGTAAGAATCTGCCCAATTCTATTTTGATGCATTTTAGCAAGTAATTCCAGATACCATCCCATCTAAGTATCTAATGTTGCTCTGGACAGCAAGATGTTGTTCATGCCTTCTAACATCCCAGTTCTGGAGTGCAAGTTCACTAATATGGAGGGGATAGGTGGGGGAGTCTCTACTCAGGGAATCAGAAATCCAGCAATCTAAATGGGCCCAACAAGCTACAGCCTTGTTAGACTTGCAAGTTAATCCCGTAAGATCCTTTATATTATGTTCAAGGTCATCTGATTTAGGTGAGTAGTGATCCCAGTAAGTCCCACAAAGGTCCCTGTCCAACAGTTGTGGGTGGGCAGTTACAAGGAGTATGTTTTCTAGTAGATTCAAGAGGGTAGACCAGGCAGCCAAGAGATTGAGAGAGATAAGGGCCAGAAACAAAAGATTCCTGACTTTTGTGTATGTCAATCCATACTGCACCACAATCTCAAGGTTCAAATGCTAAATATGTGCTCTGCCTGAGACGCAGCCCACTTTCCTGTTATAGAACCTTTGATAAATGTTGATTGAGTGTGTGTGTGCGCGCGCGCGCGCAGGGGTGTCCGCAAGCGATGGTGAGAGATGCGGCCCATTTACAAAGGTGGGAAAAATCCAGTAGTTAACATTCAAATAGAAATGCTGAGGATCATGTTTTGTGAGGCTCCATTCAGCAAATGAGCGTATTAGTTGATGTCACAGAAGCCAAATGAACATGCTACTGTGTCAAAATAGAAGATTCCTCTATGTGTGCACAAGAGTGATCAAGCTCAAAAACATATCTTAATAAATTTTTGTCTGTTAGGTTTAAAACTTTTTTTTGTTTTGTTTTTGTTTTTTCGAGATAGGGTTTTTCTGTATAGTTTTGGTGTCTTTCCTGGATCTCACTTTGTAGACCAGGCTGGCCTGGCTCTGCCTCCTGAGTGCTGGGATTAAAGGCATTGCCACTGTCGTACAGCAGTTTAAAACTTTTTAAAGATTTATTTATTTTGTTTTTGTGTGTGAAAGTTTTGGCTACATGTATGTATATGTACCACATGCATGCCTGGTGCCCAGGGAGATTAGAAGAGGGCAACGGATTCCCTGGAACTGAGTCACAAGTGGTTGTAAGCCATGAGGTGGGTGCTGGGAATCAAATCCAGGTCCTCTGCAAGAGCAACCAGTGCTCTTAACCACTAAGCCATCTCTCCAACCAATCTGTTTGCTTTTTGAGAAAGAGTCTCACCATGTATCCCAGGCTAGCCTCAAACTCATGTAGCCCAGTTGGCTTTAAATTCCTTTGTATCCACAGCATGTAGTATACCTCACTGAAAGCACGTGGTTAGCCTATTGTGTGACTATACACAGAGAACACCCATCCTCTGCTTCAGCCTCTTATAGTAAGGACCAGTCTTACTCTTTTCTCTGCTCCCGGGGTACTGAGCCCAGTGGCTGGTAGCCTGCTTTAAAACATTCATCTCATGGACAAAGACGTGAGTGCCCAGAGGGATGGTGGGATGGACAGTGGGACGGAAGATGGACGGACTGAACATGCACTGTTGCTTAGCCCCTAAGCCATCCTTGCCTCCCAGCAAACTGTTGGTGCACCTACACTTGAAGCTAATTACAAAATAATCACGGGAAGATTTAAAACAGAGGGGGAAAATGCATGGCTACTTGTTGGAACACAGTCCAGGATGGAGCTGTGTGAGGAGAATTCTGAGTGCTTGGAGAAAACTCTTAGAAAAACACAGAATTGTTCTTGGAATGTGCTTTCATGCTTCTCCCAGGTGCAGTGGATAGGAGTGAATTTACTTCAGCTGTTGTTATTCATATGCTTCTGTCTTAGTTAGGGTTTTTATTGTTGTGAAGAGACACGTCCATGTAAACTCTTATAAAGAAAAACATTTAACTGAGGTGATAGCTTACAGTTCAGAGAGTCAGTCCATTATCATCATGGTGGGGAGCATGGCGGCATGCAGGCGGACGTGGTACTGGAGGAGAAGAGTCCTACATCTTGCAGGCAACAGGGAGTCGACTCAGACACTGGGAGGTATCTGTCCTGAGCATAGGACACCTCAAAGCCCACCTCCACAGTGACACACTTCCTCCAACAAGGCCCATACACACTCCAACAAAGCTATACCTCCCAATAGTGTCACTCCCTATGAGATTATGGGGACAATTATATTCAAACTACCACAGCCTCTGTAGAAAAAAGTATTATTGCCACATGCACCTTGTCCTTGTGATTATACACTTTATTCAGGTGACTCCTCTTAACTTTCTAGGTATGGTCTGATGATCTGAAGAAAGTTGGATATTGCATGAGACTTTAGTTCGCCTCATTTTTAGCCCCCCTCCACTCTCCTTAAGTTCACGCTGTCAACTAGAGAGGTAAACAGGTATTATCTTAGCTTCTTTATTGAGATAGGGCTTCTCCGTGTAATTTTGGTGCCTGTCCCGGATCTCACTCTGTAGACCAGGCTGGTCTCAAACTCACAGAGATCCACCTGGCTCTGCCTACCAAGTGCTAGGATTAAAGGCATGTGCCATCGACGCCCGGCCTTAGTTAGCTTCTTATTGCTGTGATAAAACACCATGGCCAAAAGCAACTTTCAAAGGAAGAGTTTATTTCACTTACACATCCACATCACAGCCCATCATTGAAGGAAGTAAAGGAAGGAACCTGGAGGCAGAAACTGAAGCAGACACCATGGAGGAATGTTGATTATTGACTTGTCAGCCTGCTCTCTAATACCATCTAGGACCCCCCTGCCCAGGGATGGCACTACTCACAAGGGGTGGGACCCTTCCATATCAATCATTACTCAAAAAAATGCCCTATTTACCTGCCTATGGACCAATCTTACAGAAGCATTTTATCAATTAAGATTCCCTCTTCCAGGGCCGGAGAGAAGGCTCAGTGGTTAAAAGGAGATATGGCTCAGTGGTTAAAAGCACTGGCTGTTCTTCCAAAGGATCCCGATTCAATTCCCAGCACCCACATGCCAGCTCACAACTGTCTGTAACTCCAGTTCCAGGGGATCCTACATGGTCACACAGACATACATACAGGCAAAACACCGATGCACATTAAATAAATCTTAAAAAAGAAAAAAGGTCTCCTCTT